TGGTGGTGGAGGTGGAATTCTCTCCCACATATGGGTCTCTCCACATGACTGCCTCCTCACATGGCATTTGGAGTCCCCCAAAGTGAGCAAATGTAGAGGGTGAGAATGCCCAGGAAGGAAACCAGGGAACCACAGTCTTTTTATAACCTAGTCTTGGAAATGCATCCCATCATTTCTGCCTCATTATATTTTTTAAAAAGTAAGTACAGCCCACCCTCAAGAGTGTGAATGCCAGGAGGTGGGATGATTGAGGGCCATTTTAGAAGATGCTTATCAATGGCTGGTTACAAGATGACTGCCAACAACAACTGAATCAGCATTCTTCTCTGAAGTAAGAATTCTGGCCTTGCATTGAGACATTTTTGATCTCCCCTTCCCAATTCAATTCAGTCAACATGTATTGAATGTTTGCTTTTGTCCAGGCTCCTTGCTGCTTGCTGGGGTTACATGGATCATGTCTTCAGAAAGCTCACGAGTCTTATAAAAGAGATAGATACATACAGCAAATAACTCCAGTATACCATGGGTGATCAAATGTCCCAGCAGCCAAGGAAGCAAGCAGGAGCATTGTGCTGGGGTTGAGAGACAGCAACCTTGGACTTGGGTCTCCTCAACTGGTATGTGTGTTCTCATTCCAGAGATGAGCAAGAAGCAGGGGTTGGCCAGGACTGCCCTTGGGTGTCCCATAGCAGGGGCACTCAGGGCATTCCCTTTTCCAGTGTCCCTCCTGGCAATAACTGCCTTGGTTTCATCCCAAGTTGACGATTCCCTATCAGTTGTCTGGTCTTCTGGACCTCTTAAGGTCACCTGGAACTGGTGGGTGGATGAAGTAGGGGAGCCAAAAGCTGCATCTTTTTGGCCAATTTCCTAGCTCTATTAACTTCCTCTGCCTTGTCCATGTTATTATAGACCTTGAAGGCCTCTTCCACCAAGGTTGACAGTGGAGTCTGAGGGCTGGCCTCTAACTTTTGTAATTTTCTCCTAATGTCTAAAGCAGATTGGATAATAAAATGCATGGCAAGCAATGCCCTTTTCTCTGCAGACTCCAGGTCTGTTAGTATAGTGGGCAATCTTCACAGAAGACAATGAGATCTAACCATCTGCCAGTGACAAATTCAACTGGCACAGTGATAAAGAAGCCCACACATCCCCTCCACAGACAGGGACAGAGGGAAGAAGTACCAAGAAGTTTTAAAGAGGGTAACAAAACAGGGAGTCTCCACGTTGAAAGCGGGCAGGGGGCAGAGTGGGGGAAGCTGGAAGAGGAGAGGGAGAAAAAGGAGGAAAAGAAATCAAGCAAGGGGCAGTGGAGGGAGGCACTCTGTCCACTGCCCATTGGGGTGATCAGGCCAAGGGAGTCAGTTTTTTCAATCCATCCCTTACCGGTTTCTATTCAGACAACTTGGAACCAGGGAATGAGAGGAGAAAGAGGAAAAAAACCCCACAAAGTTTTCCTGTGGCTATCAGACTTCCAGCTATTAGCCTACACTGTGTGAGGATTGTATCTCCATCACTCTTACTAGTCCCTGGTTAGGGACCGCCTGTTTGACCGAGGTCTGCATGGTGTGAGGTGAGCCTTTCCCACCTCTACTGGTTAGTTACCTACCAGAGGGACCACGTTCTCACAGGCTGAGAGGAGTTAAGTTGTAGCTATCTTGTAGCCATCCCATTAGTAGAGTATAAGAAGGAGGGGGAAAAGCATGGAAAAGAAGAGGGAAGTTAAAGGAGGAGGGAAGGAAATTGGGAAGGAAGGGCGAAAGGAAAAATGTTACCTGAATGAGAGTAGTGGGAACCCCTGGGATGCTGGAGGCTGACTTACCTAGCACGGTGACACTGAACCAAAGGTTCAAGGTGGCTGCTTGTCAGCTCTGAAGGGGTTGCATCCAGCTGTCCATCCGCAGGGGTCCCCCACATCCTCCTGGAGTCCTGGTGGAGTTGCCAGAAAAGTGTGATACCAATCTCTAAGGAGACTTAGGCGGGAAAAGGGTGACATTTAAACATGTAGAGGTGGGAAATTCTTGACACCTGCACACTTAAGGGTCATGCTTCTTTGTGTCTCACATGTCTAATTAGCATGTGAAATCTCCACCCTTAGTATTATAATGAGGGAAAAAGGCAGTGTAAGGTCAGCATTGGTGGCCATCTTGGCATAGACCGGTTTGATTCAGTCTTCACCAGTCTTCATAGCTGAGTCCTTCCTTTCCATAAACATCTTGTTTCCACATTCCTGCAAGATATACTACTGTGAGGCATAGAGATTTAGCTTTTCTTTCTATGGAGAGCCAAGGAATGCTGGATTTTGCAGTGAGGGTTGAGGGGACCTGAGTTTAGTCCCTGCTCTGTCTCATTTCAGGAGACTCAATGAACCTTAGATTAGACTACTCCTGCTGTTAGAGAAGTGAGCCAGAGCTTACAATATATAATTAATCTAGGTCAAGTACATAAAGCAATATCAGACCTTGCAAACAAAGTTCTACCAGCCCCCACCAAGGATGACGCTGAAAAGAGGACCCCTCCACAGGTTAACCCAGGAGATCAAGTCCTTCTTAGAACTTGTAAAGAAAACTCCCCGGAGAACCAACTGTTGCCTAAATGGAAGGGTCCCTACATGGAGTGGCCAGAGTGGCCAAGAGACCCTCTGGCCACTCCAAATGCAGTCAACTTACAAGGAGTCCCTAACTGCGGCACATCTTTCCAGATTAAAATTCCTCTCTTCCGAACATCCACAGAATCATCTAGAAGACCTGAAGTCATCCTACTCCTGTGAGACTGTAGAAGACCTTAAATATATATTCCAGGGGCGCCTGGATGGCTCAGTCGGTTAAGCCTTCTTTTTTAAAGATTTTATTTATTTATCTGACAGAGAGAGACACAGCGAGAGAGGGACCACAAGCAGGGGGAGTGGGAGAGGGAGAAGCAGGCTTCCCAGTGAGCAGGGAGCCTGATGCGGGGCTCGATCCCAGGACCCTGCCTGGGATCATGACCTGAGCCGAAGGCAGACGCTCAACGACTAAGCCACCCAGGCGCCCCTGGTTAAGCCTCTTTAAGTCCTGAAGACTCTTTCCTTTGTGCTATCTTCCTTGTGCTGTAGTATAAGCCCCAATAAAGCCTTGCTCGGAACTCCTGTTTGACTTCTTGTCCATTTGTATTGTTTAGCCAACTCAAGGGCCCTTTTTAGCATCAGGGTTAGAGGACGCAAAGGAAGAAATGGATGAGTTGGATTTTGGAGGATCAGTTGGAGGTAGGTGACTTGGGAGGATAAGAAAAGGTCATTCCAGAATTGAATGTTACAGAAGGGGTGCCTGGCGGCTCAGGTGGTTAAGCATCTGCCTTCGGTTCAGGTCATGATTCCAGGATCTTGGGATTGAGCCCCACTGCTCTTCGGGGAGCCTGCTTCTCCCTCTCCTCCTGGCTCATGCTTTCTCTCACTATTTCTGTTGCTGTCTCTCAAATAAATAAATAAAATCTTTTAAAAAATGTTATAGGAAATGTTAAGAATAATATAACTAGTGCTTGCTACTGCAGCACATATACTAAGAATAATGTAAATAATTCCACTACCTAATTAACATATTTTCTTATGTTTATATTTAGGTTTCTTCTTTTATATTTTATTTTTTATTATTTTTTAAAAGATTTTATTTATTTCCTTGAGAAAGAGAGTGAAGGTGAGAGAGAACGAGTGGGGGAGAGGGGCAGAGGGAGAAGCGGACTCTGTGCTAAGCAGGGAGCCAGATGTGGGGATCAATCTAGGTCTGTTACCTGAGCGGAAGGCAGACTCTTAACCTGAGCCACCCAGGAGCCCCAGGTTCCTTCTTCATTAAAAAAAAGAACTATCTGAAGTCCTGTTTATCCCCCCTCCCAATCCATCCTGACTTTTACTCCTCCCCCGCTCCTGCCCTTTTATTATCATAGTGCATATGCACATATCCATGAACCCATAGTTCATTTTCTATACTTAACACATATATTTTTTCCATTATCAGTATATACTGTGATTCTGTTAAATTTACATAAGTCGTTTCACAGTGCACATAATTGGCATATTGCTATTTATAACTCTTAGGAGCTATCAAATGTTGATACATATAGGACTCATTTATTAGTTTTATTTGTTGTAACATTTTATCATGGGAACATATCACGTTTTATCTATCTTTTTTAAGATTATATTTTATTTATTTGAGAGAGCACAAGAGGGGGTAGGGTCAGAGGGAGAAGCAGACTCCCCGCTGAGCATGGAGCCCGATGCGGGACTCGATCCCGGGACTCAATCCCAGGACTCTGGGATCATAACCCCAGCCAAAGGCAGTCGCCCAACCAACTGAGCCACCCAGGCACGCTATTCGTCTGTATTTTATTGCACATTTCCGTTGTTTACATTTTTCACGAGGAAGCAGGCTTGAACATGAATTTGTCTTTTTGTGCACACCTGTAGGAGTTTCTATATTCTTCTAGACATGAAGTTGCTGGATCATAAAACGCACATTTAAAATTTCACCAAAAGTGGCTGTTCTAATTTTACACTGCGAACTGACACCTCTGAGAGTTTACGTTTCTCAGATTCCTTCCCTTCCTGGAAATGGTCAGATTGTTAACATTTACGATCAGGACATACTTTTCAAGTAGTCATATGAACAGACAATTTCAGTATAACTCTATACGCAAACAAAGGGCCGGAGGAGGGTTGATGTGGCAGAGGAGGCTTTGAAGGGGTTCACTGTAGTGTTTTGAGAGCCCTATTGCTACTCTTTGGTTTCCCTCAAAGTGCTAACAAATGATACGGCGAACAAGCCCACTGCGAGCGCGCGGGGAGTGCCCCACACTGCGCTGGAAGATCAAACACTACTCCAGTGATGGCGCGCTCCAGCCCTAGCGCAATGGTACGACCTGGCCGCGGCTTCCCCCCGCGGTGCGGGTTGGTTGCGTCCAGGACGCCGGCGCACGCGCCCACACCCGCCCGGGGAGCGCGACTCCTCCCCGCTGTGCCTCAGCTTCGCGCGCATGCCTCCCCCCACCCCCGCCCGCGCTCCTGACGTGCTGCGGACGCTCGCGACCCGCAGCGCCCCGGAGGAGGGGCTCGGCAGAGGGGCGCCGGCCGGTCGGTGAGTACCTGCCGCCTCCGCTCACCTCCAGCCCGCCCTCTTCCCGCCTCCTTTTTTCTCTCCTGGGGGCCGCGGCCCGCTTCTCACCTGGAGGGGCGCCTCAGACGGGGAGTGGAGCCCTCACGGCGCGGAGGCGGACCTCTCCGGACGCCGGGGTGGGCCCTTCGGGACGTCGGGGTGGCCCTTGAGGATGTTGGGTGGGCGTCTCCGGACACCGGGGTGGGCCTTTCGGGACGCCCCAGGAAGTTGGCAGGCGGGGCGCCTCCCGACGCGGGAGTGGGGCCCTTTGGGACTTCGCTGGACGCCTCCTGACGCCGTGGTGGGCTTCCGCCCCCAGTCCCAGGCCGGCCCACTTCGCACCAGGGGTGCGGCCTTTATCCTCTCGGGCGCTCCTTCGTTATTTCTCGTCAGCCGATGGGCTCTGATTCCCTCCCCCGCCCCGGTCCCTCGAAAGCGTCTTCCTCAACCTGAACGCCCCGGGACGAGGCTCCGTTCTCGCTGTCTGCCCCCACGGGGCCCCAGAGCTGGGACCTCTACACGAGGACCGGCCTCGGTGCCCCTCCGACTCTTACGCCTCCCGCGCCCGCCGGCCCCTCCCGCGCGCAAGCTACTGTTTTGTTGCGGAGTGATCCTTCTGTTAGTTGTTTGCCCAGAAGAAAATATTTTGTTTGGAAATCATTTTTTGCCACTTTCCCCTCCAGCAGAACTGATGTTTCCTTCTGTACGATGACCGTGTTTCAGCCTATTACACGCACGGATTTATTTAATCTTAACACTTTTACGAGATAGGTACTTATTCTCAGTTTACTGATGAGGTAACTGAGGATGGACGACCTACCTCGTAAGTGGTAGAGCTGTTTTGAATCCAGGCAGCCTGACTCTAATGTTCTTGTATTTAGTCACTATATCATACTAAGATATAAGTATTATCTAGGAAAAAGTGAAAGTTTTATCCTTCTGTATTTTTTCCTGTTGGGGGGTAGTGCCTTGTAGATGAATCAAAGAATGATTTTTGAAGTCAGGCATATCGAGCCGCAGTTCACAACATAGCCATTTACCAACCTAGGAAGAACTTAACCAATTGTTTGATTTTGAGTAAGTTTACAAACATGTAAAATAGTGATACAAATCGTTAAAATAATGATTAGTGATAAAAATAGTATAAAATAGTGATACCTACCCTATAGAGTTATTGGGAGGATAACCTTTATAATGCGTGTGAGGTACGTAGAATAGTATCCCAGGACTCAATAAATGACTATAATTTATTACTCAAAATGTATTTGCATTTTGTTACACATTTGTCCTGAGGCTGAGTATAAACTGGGAAATAATTGTGCGTGTGCTTGTAAATGCATTTACCTTTTTTATTTTACGTACTTAACGTATTATCGGCGCAAAAAGGTGGTTTTATTAAAGCACTAGGACAGGATCCATGAGTAGAAAGAACTGCCACATTTACCTTTTTTTAAATCAAGGAAAGAGCGGGGCGCCTGGGTGGCTCAGTTGGCTAAGCGTCTGCCTTTGGCTCAGGTCATGATCTTAAGGTCCTGGAATTGAGCCCTGCATCAGGTTCCCTACTCAATGGGGAGTCTGCTTCTCCCTCTCCCTCTGACCCTCCTCCCTGCTTGTGCTCTCTCTCACAAATAAATAAATAAAATGTTTAAAAAATAAAAATAAACTAAGGAAACAAGCCCTTGAAATCAGGTGATATGCTTGGTACCAAATTTCTTGGGTAGTGACTTATTCAATAACTTATGGTCAATCATTCATAAAGACTTGTTAAGGTCCCTATATCCCCAAGCTTTCGAAGTGATTTTGACATGTTTGGTAGGTAGAATGTCAAGATTTTTAAGTTATTTTTTCAGTGATTGTTCTTCAGATAGATCAAGAGGATAGCTTTGCTGAAAGAAAATGACAAATAATAACCCAAGTTGGGGATTTTCAAGGGCATTACTAAAAATGCTACCTGTGAAATAAATAACAAGTCTCATTATTGTGTCACCTTTCCTGTTTGTGCATTCTTTTAGAGACATTTTGTTCCTGTCATGATTAAGATGAGGCTGTTGGCCTCTAAACTCTATTCTTCCTTCACAGTTGTAATTCATTCTTTAGCCTCAGTTCCAGTACTTGAAGGTAAGCCATTATTTTAGTGAGTTCTTCATTTTTAAGGGTAGCAACCTAAATAAATAGTAGCTGCACTATATGCTGGTCTGCTTGTTTAAATTGGCCAAGCAGTGCCTTGTTTTTTGCTCTTGGAATTAGTGTGTGGTTAAATCTCATGAAGCACTGAATTTTGGAGTCTGTAATCTGTGGGGGGCCTCTACTTAATGCTTATCAATCTCTTATCTGCTTAATTCTCTGAAAACCCAGTTTGAGACTGCTGGTGGTTCTGTGCTACAGAGAAGGGTAGAGTTTTTATTTATGTATCTTTAAGAAATTACATATATTTGGTGGTATAGCTACTCTTGCTATCAGATTTGAGCATTTTGGTTTAAATAACTAGGGTACAGAAAACATTTAATAAGATGAAAACTATTCATACAAGGTGTTTTCCTGTGGCACTGTGATTCCTTCAGAATCCTCCCGAACTAATTCTGACTTCCAAGTCTTACCTATGCTATTCAACCTATAATAATTTTATCCTTGGGCGCCTGGGTGGCTCAGTCGTTAAGCGTCTGCCTTCGGCTCAGGTCATGATCCCAGGGTCCTGGGATCGAGTCCCACATCGGGCTCCCTGCTCAGCGGGAAGCCTGCTTCTCCCTCTCCCACTCCCCCTGCTTGTGTTCCTGCTCTCGCTGTCTCTCTCTGTCAGATAAATAAATAAAATCTTTAAAAAAAATAATTTTATCTTTCTGTGCTTTTATGTTATATTTAATAACTTAAATATATACATTATACTGTTCATTCAGCACGTTTTTTTTTTTTTAAGATTTTATTTATTTGAAAGCACGAGCTGGAGGGGAAGTGGGGAAAAACAGACTCCCCACTGAGCAGGGAGCCCAACGCGGGGTCTCAGTCCAGGGTCCCTGAGATCATGACCTGAGCTGAAGGCAGATGCTTAACTGACTGAGCCCCCCAGGTGCCTCCATTCAGCACATATTTATGTGTGCATTACCATACATCAGGCAGCAGTTTTAGTTAGAAGAGGTATAAAGATTAAGTCATTAAGTATTGGAGTCAAGAGACAGAATTCCAAGCGTCTCCTTTGTGACTTCTGACAAGTTACTTTTCTGAACTTATGCTTCCTAGTAATAATTATATATACTTCCTAGGTTTTTGTGAAGATTAATTAATTAAAAATACTTGGGACCCTTGAATTGCCATGTGAGTTTTAGGATCAGCTTGTTAATTTACACACACACACACACACACACACACACAACTAGGATTTTATTAGGTATTGCATTGAATCTATATGTCAATTTGAGGAGTAGAGTACCATCTTAAGTCTTTTGAACCTTGAACATGGGATGTTTTTCATTTATTTAGATTTTCTCTTATTTAAAAAATGTTTTGTAGTTTTCAGGGTATAAATTTGGCATGTCTTTTTTTTTTTTTTTTTTTTTTAAAGACTTTATTTATTTGAGAGAATGAGAAAGAGAGCATGGCGGGGGGGAGGGTCAGGGAGAAGCAGACTCCCCGCTGAGCAGGGAGCCCGCCATGGGACTCTATCCCGGGACTCCAGGATCATGACCTGAGCTGAAGGCAGTTGCTTAATCAACTGAGCCACCCAGGTGCCCTAAATTTGGCCTGTCTTCTGTTAAAACTATGACTAAATATTTTAGTCTTTAGGATGCTATTGGATTTGTTTTCTTAATTTCATTTTCAGATTGCTCAATGCAAATGTATAGAAATACAGGTAGTTTTGTTTTGATTTTGTATCCTGCAGCCTTGTTGAACTTGTGTATTCTGATAGTGTTTTTTTTTTTAGTGGATTTCTTAGAATTTTCTATATATGAGTATTGCATCTAAATGATAAAACTAAATATAGTTTTACTTCTTCCTTTCCAATCTGGATGCTTTTTTTTCTTTTTCTCTCTTTTTGCCTAATTGCTCTGGCTAGAACCTCCAGTATAATGTTGAATAGAAGTGCTTAGAGTGGACATGCTTGTTTTGGACCTGATCTAAGGGAAAACTTTCAGTATTTCACCATTAAGTATAATGTTAACCACGGGTTTTTGATAGATACTTTTTATCAGGTTGAGGAAGTTCTCTTCCATTCCTAGTTTAGTGTTTTTATCATGAGGAGTGTTGAATTTCGTCAAATGTTCTTTCTGTGTACATTAAGATAATCATGTGGTTTTTGTCCTTTATTCTATTTTTTTTAAAAGATTTTATGTATGTATGTATTTATTTTTTAAAAAGATTTTATTTATTTGACAGAGAGAGAGAGAGTCTGTGAGAGAGGGAACACAAGCAGGGGGAGTGGGAGAGGGAGAAGCAGGCTTCCCGCTGAGCAGGGAGCCCGATGTGGGACTCGATCCCAGGACCCTGGGATCATGACCTGAGCCGAAGGCAGACGCTTAACGACTGAGCCACCCAGGAGCCCCGATTTTATGTATTTATTTGACAGAGAGAGACAGCGAGAGAGGGAACACAAGCAGGGGGAGTGGGAGAGGGAGAAGCAGGCTTCCCGCAGAGCAGGGGCCCGATGCGGGGCTTGATCCCAGGACCCTGGGATCATGACCTGAGCCAAAGGCAGCCGCTCAACGACTGAGCCACCCAGGCGCCCCTCCTTTATTCTGTTGATATGGTATAATACATTGAGTTTCAGATCTTAAACCAACCTTTTCTTCTCTTGATACATCTTAGTCATTGTATATAATTCTTTTTATATAATATTGGGTTTGGTTTGTTAGTATTTTGTTGACGATTTTTGCATCTATATAACAGATACTGGTTCCTTGTTTTATTTTTCTTTTGTCTTAAAAGATTCTATTTATTTAATTATTTTTTTAAAAAATATTTTATTTATTTATTTGACAGAGAGAGAGACA